TGCATGCCCAAGATCTTAAGAGGAGACTGGAAGAGAAGGGATTACAGTGTGGCCAGTCCCCTTGGGAGGTGATTTTTCGCTTTCTGTCTCTCTCTGTCTCTCTGGTAAGTGCACATGCCCTATAGCAAATAAAAAGAAAGAAGAAAGAGAGAGAGAGAAAGAAAGAAGAAAGAAAAAGAAAGGAAGAAAGAAGAAAGAAAGAAAGAAAGAAAGAAAGAAAGAAAGAAAGAAAGAAAGAAAGAAGAAAGAAAGAAAAAGAGAAAGAAAGAACGAGAGAAAGAAAAAGAAAGAAAGAAATTACTCTGGGTATGTGTGCATGTGTACCAAATATTCCAAGAGGAGAATGAATAAGAAGGAATTATTGGGACCAGCAGTTAGTGTAATGGTTATGTCACTGGACTCCCATGAGGTCGACCACGATTCGAGTCCTGGACCCGGCAGCTTAAACTCACACTGGGGGCATGTGTGTGCCCAAGATCCCAAGAGGAGAATGAAGGAGAAGGAATTGAGGCGTGGCCATCCCACCTGGGGGTGATTTCTTATCCCCCTCCCCCTCTGGTGAGCATACACATTCTGTAGCAAAAACTAAAAGTAAAAAATTCCAGAAAATAATCCACCATGGATAAATTCCAGTGGACACAAAAAGCAGAATTTACATTTCTTCCCCCTTCAAAAAAAGTATAAAATCTGCTTATAGATTATACTGCAACTGTTGTTAATAACTGACAACATATACGAAAATAGGGGGAAAATACTACTGATACAGCAGACCATTTTGAAAAAGACAGAATAGATCTTAAAGTAGGTAACTGGTTTGACATAGCTAGAAAGAAAAAGAAATGATGTGAAAATTAGATAAGAGGAAGTAAAAGAGAGGATAATTTTGATAGATAAAGAAAGAAAATATGGGAGGCTGGGGACCAGCAGTTAACGTAATGGCTATGTCGCTGAACTCCCATGTAGTTGACCACGGTTCAAATCTTGGACCCTGTGACTTAAACTCACACTGGGCGCATGTGCATGCATGCCCAAGATCCCGAGAGGAGAATGAAGGAGAAGGGATTGTGGCATGACCATCTCCCCTGGGGGGTGATTTTTTGATTTCTGTCTCTTTGGAGAGCACATGTGCCCTATAGCAAAAAAAAAAACCTCTCCAAAAAAAAAAAAAAAGAAAATATGGGAGGCTAGGAGGCAATGTTGTTGAATGAAAAGTGCCAACCTACATGTTGGATTGAGGGAGAGGAAATAAACAAAATGTTAACATTTAAGAATTTTCCATTATTGGAAGGCATGACTCTGTAGGTAGCAAAATAAAAACAATTGGTGGGTTGTTGGGAAAGTCATGACATATTTTTTGTTTTTCATGCATCATGACTTTTCCAAAGACCCAATTAATATATGCCGAATTGACTTCTGGAATAGCTGAAGAGTTTCAGAAATCCTGTCCCCTAAAAGTAGTAATAAACTGTACAAAGCTACAAAAATAAAGTCTATAGGATCTTTTTTTAAAAAAGAATTATTTAATTTTATTTATCATTATTTGTTTTTTTAATTTGCTATAGGACTTGTAGGCTCACAAAAGAGAGAGGGAAAGTGAAAAAGCAAGACACCAGGTTCAGGGCTCAAACCAGAGTTGGTCACATGGGAGTCCAGTACCTTAACCACCATGCTTCCTGCTGGCCCCAAAGTCTACTGAATCTTGAATAGTAGGAATCCCACGCTGCCTGTTCCTGGTCTCACAAGTCTACCATTAGGACTGGCAATTCTGCAGCTCTGCCAGAGGGGACAGAGGAGCCAGTATGAGGCATGAAAAATTCCATGTCCCAGGGTAGTATTGAAAATAATGGATATCTCAGTGACAAACAGTCAGGAAATGCTGATAGCCCAAGTTCCATACTAGTTATGGTAATCAACCAAAAGACAGACCAATCAATTACAGGAGTAGCTAAGGAATGAGACAACAAAAGAGGGTCTTGCTAAAATCCCACATGTTCCTAGTGAAAGGCTGGGCACATGCACATGATTATAGCTGGTTGAGAGAAAACCAGAGGATTCCAGTGAACTCTTCATTTCTGATTACCAAAACAAAGTAAAAAGCAGCACAGTCTTCAAACTCAAATTTTAAAAGATAGTCAATAAGGCTCATGTGGCTAAAAATATCTGTTATCTGACCTTTCTCAGAAAAGTTTGTCAACCCTGGTTTCATATTCAGAAATGTACACAATATAATAACACCAAATTAGCAGAATGAAAGAAAAAACTATAGGGTTATCTCAATAAATACAGAAAAAAGTTCAGCATCCTTATAATGACAGGTTACAGACAAGCAGGACAGAAGGCAAGAATGACCTACATGATAATTGACTTAAATTGATATCAGTGTTTACTCATTTAATATAGATTCAGATGGGTGTATATAAGAAGTAAACATATAGATAGGTGCATATAATATACATAGATTAGTATACATTTACACATTTGCTTGCTCTGTCACCTTAAAGTGGCCTAGAAGCAACAACACCCTAGAAGCAGTTAGCTCACCTAGCATCCACTTTTTAGCTTCTGATACCATTCTTCAATTAAAAACAACTAGGCATCCTTGGAAAAATGACAGATTTCTTTTTTTCATTTTAATTAATTAATTAATTAATTAATTTTTAATTTATTATTTTTTAATTTTTTGAAAGGTTTTCATTATAGGGTGCGTGCATTCACCAGAAAAACAGAGAGAGACAGAGAGACAGAAAACAAGAAGTGACTCCCCCCAGAGGGGATGGCCATGCTGCAATCCCTTCTCCCCCATTCTCCTCTCGGGATCTTGGGCACGTACACACACGCGCCCAGTGTGAGTTTTAAGCCACCAGATCCAGAACTGGAACCGCAGTTGGCTACGTGGGAGTTCAGTGACAAAGCCATTATGCTAACTGCTGGTCCCTTAATTTATTTTGGGGGGATAGGAAAAATAATAGATGAACTTGAGGCCAGCAGGTGGCATGGAGGTTAAGGTGCTGGATCCCATACGGCCAACTGAGTTGTTCAGGTCCTTGACCTGGCAGCTTAAAAAAAAAAAACATGCATGCCCAAAAGCACAAGAGAGTCATGAAGAAAGGATTGCAGGGTGGCCATTACTCTGGGAGGTGATTTCTCACTTTTCCTCTTTATCCTCTCTCTCTCTCTAGTCAGTACATGCAAACTAAAACAAAACAGAACACTAAACCCAGAGTATTTTTGCAAGGAAATGCAAAACTGGAACAAACAAACAAACAAACCTAAAACGATGGGGATGAGTTAAAAGGACACAGAAACCAATCTAAAAAAGCTCCCAATGGCCAACACTGGAATAATTTGAACAATAAAAATGTTTTTAAGTTATATTGGATTATAACTCAAATTATAAAATAAATACCTGTGAATACATGATGTAAATAAGTGATTGGATGAGTATAGAAATGGGGGAGAATAACAAATCTCCCATGCAGATTTCCAAATAATATGTATACATGCTCTGCCCTTACGAAGGTACTTCATAACATAGCTCTACATGTGAGTGCATCATAATGACTTCACTACAACACTTGAAAATGGGTGTTGCATAATTACTTCATTGTAAAATTTGGAAGGGGGTTATAATTTTGTGGAGAAGTCTGACAAATATTGCCTCAACAAAGTGATCAAGTTAACATTATCAGTGAGAATCACGTTGATAGTATAGCCGTTGATATTATGTATGAGAATGGCAGTTTACTTCTGTGGTCATCTCTCAAAAATCCATAACCCTAATTTAATCATAAAAATTTTAGATAAATTAGTCTCCCACTTAAAAGTACTCCTCAAAATTGTTAATTTCATTAATATTCTAGGCATAGTAGTACATGCCTATGATCCTAGTTAATGGGGAAGTTGGGAGAGGAGAACTTTTTTTTTTTTCAGAGAGATATTTTTGCTATAGGGCACGTGCACTCATGAGAGAGACAGAAAGTGAGAAATCATCTCACAGTGGGGATGGCCATGCTGCAATTCCTTCTCCTCCATTCTTGTCTTGGGATTTTGGGCACGTGTGCACACATACCCAGCATGAATTTAAGCTACCAGGTCTGGACTGGAACCGTGGTCCACAATGTGGGAGTCCAGCAACATAATCATTACACAATCTGCTGGTCCAGGAAGAGGAGAATCTTAATGTGGTGAGACCCTGTCCATAAACATCTCTCTCTCTCACCCCAAATGTCCTCCTCCCTTCCATGGACTTTCATGTGCGTGCTCTCATTAACAAACAAACAAACAAACAAACAAACAAAAAACAAAGATCATTATACCTGACTTTATTTCAAAGCTTGTAAAATGAGGATAATTGCATAAAGTCAGAAAACAGTCACTAACATGAACATTAACGATCTTTTAAAAGTTGTACCAACTGCAAGTTAAAAATTTTTTTTAAATATAATATGGTCCATGGGGACCAGTGGATGGCATGGTGGTTAATGCACTGGACACTCCCACATGGCTGACCGCAGTTCGAGTCCTGGACCTGATGGTTTGCTTTCTCACTTTCTCTCTGTCTCTCTCTCTCTCTCTGTCTGTCTGTCTCTCTCTGGTCAAATTAAAATAAATGAATGAATAAATAAAATAATTCTTTAAAAATATAATATGGTTCAGGAACTTTGCTTCTGGTATATATCTAAAATAATTGAATACAGGATCTCAAAGACGTACTCGTGTACTTGTGTTCATAGCAGCATTATTCACAGTGAACAAAAGTGGGAGCAGACCAAGTATTCATCAAGAGAAGAATGGATAAACAAAATGTGGTCTATTCATAAAATGGAATATCATGCAGCTTTTAGGACATTCTGACACAAACTGCCACACTGACAATCCTTGACATAGACACTGTACTAAGTGAAATAACCCAGTCACAAAGGGACAAACACTGTATGATTCAACTTAATATGAAGTACTTAGTCAACTCAGAGAGACAGAGTGTTTCCAGAGTGTCATTTTATTTAATATATAATAGCAGGATCTTGGAGCTAAGTGAAAATGGGTACTTGTCTAACTCACTTTAAAGTGAGGATCAAATAAGGAGACTTCAAATCTGTGGCCCAGGCTCATTTTCCAGTGAGATCTCAAAGTCCTAATTTCAAGCCAAATCAGAAAGTAGGAGTGGGAATACTGGGCATCTTCTCAGTTCAGTAAGGGCTGACTTGCGGCAGGCTTTTCCAGGCAAGTTCTAAGAACCCATACTGGGCTATGCCCACTGGCTGGGTAGTATACACTTTGTTCTGCCCAGGGAGGGGTACCACATCCTGGAACTTGAGGGGGCCTGCAGGGACGCGAGAACTACCACAAAACAGGCGATAGAACAGTCGCTCACCAAGCACCAGCTCTGTGGTCTTCAGGGCTTTTTTGTAGATGGTCTCTTGGGACTGGAGTTTCTCTCCCTGAAGCAACTCTAGTAGAAGCCTCTGGATCTGGGGGGACTTAAGCTGGTACAGGTCCATGATCCGGTAGAACTGTTCCATCCAAGCAGCACTGTCTTTGGCATATCGCTGCTGCAGCATCCGCAAAACATAATATAGTGCCACAAAGGTCTCCCATAGGGGCATCTCTTCCTTTTCCTTAGAGATGGGTTGTATCTTCTTCTCCAACTTGGGCAATTTGGGGAACCTGCTATTACTCTTAAAATCCCAGAGGTCCTTCTGAAACATTAGTGCGAGGGTTTGTTTGTCAACAGAGGCATGGACACCTGTGAAAACCTCTCTTGTGGCAGGATAAAAATGTCGTCTCTCCATCTCTTTGAGAGCATTGGATAACTGCTGTACCCGTGCACTCCTGTAAGGTTCTCCTAAAAGATGCCAATTTATAGTCTTTGGGACTTGAATCCTCTTGGTGGTTGTTGGTAACACTGGTACAGGAATGAGCAGTGCTTTCTTCTTTGCCTTGGGGTATGTGGGGAGATCATCCCTCCCCTTCAAGACCAGGACGTCCTTCTGGACTATCAAGGCTGGGTGTTTTTTATCTGTAAAGGGATAGACAGCTGAGGGAACATCGCTTCGGATTGGATAAAGGTGCTTTATTGCCTTGTCAGGAGTGGATAACTGGAATAATTGTTGTGCCTGCTTCTTATTGGACTCAGCTAAGAGATGCCCTTTGAGAGACTGTGGTGTTTGAATCTCTTTAGTAGTTGATGGTAATTCTGATTCGGGGACAGAGGATGACTCCAGCCAGCTCTCTTTATGTTTTCTTCTAATTGGAGGGATCGCCTTTAAGTGTACTGGACTCAAAACCTCCTTATGGGGTTGTAATGTATTGATGTGACTTAACTCTAGGTTCTGACTGAGGTGTTTAGCAATGACCTTAAGATTACATAGTCGTATCCATTTCAAGTCCTCCTTTGAAGTGAAGTCTTTGAGGAGCTGGTTCAGCTGATGGAAACTGTCCCTGGAAAGTTTCTCTCCTGCTTCCAGTTTTGTTAAGGCATTGTTAATCTGATCTTCAACTAAGAAGCTTGTATCTGAGTCGTCTGGCCTTTGGAATCCTTCAGCTGGTCTTTCAGGTGAAGAGGCAAGGGATGGAGCAGGGCCCGGGGTTGGAGCCTGATCCTCAGTATTCCTCACTGAAGAATCCTGATACCACAAGAACTGCTTCCATCTGTCACGTTTGGGTCTACGTCCAGGTTTCTGTGGTCCCGTGATAATATCAGATAATGGGAACTCTGGCCTGTGGAGACCTTTGATCTGGGTTTCTAAGTCTGTTTCCATGGCTTGCAAAAACATGCCCCTGGCTTTCTCCAAGAGTATATTATCTTGTCTTCCCAGTGAACTTGTCATGGGGTGTATTTCAATAAGTTGACTGTCCTGTCTTTCTTTTGGGAGCATTTCTTCTTTATTTATGAGGGTTACCTGTAGTGGTATTTTGAAAGGACTCTTCAGAACTGTTGGTGACATACCCTTGTCCCTAAGTCTGGAGTCTCTCTTTCTATCAAGCAAGCTCTCTTTTTTAAGTAGAATTTTTCTTCTAGTTTTATCCTCCTTTTCTTCAGCAAGATCTTCATCTGTTGCTAGCTTGGGTAAGGACACACCTTCCTTTGAGAGCTCTGTTCTCAGTATTCTCTCCTCTTCTGACAGCATCTCCTCCCTAAATCTGCTCTTCCTTTTCTCCTCTTTACTTGTCCTCTCCATATACTCCTTCCGCTTCAGGCTCACTTCCTCCTCTTTCCTCAGGCTCTCTTTCTCCTTCCTCAGGCCCTCCTCTTCACTGAGAGTCTCTTCTTCCTCAGTGAGACTCTCCTTGCTCAAGCTCTCCTCGTCTTCCATGCTCAGGCTCTCCTCCTCCTCTTCACTTAGGCTCTCCTCCTCCTCTTCACTCAGCCTCTCCTCCTCACTCAGACTTTCTTCCTCTTCACTCAGACTCTCCTTTTCACTCAGGCTCTCTTCCTCCTCACTCAGGCTCTCCTCCTCGCTCAGGCTCTCTTCCTCCTCACTCAGGCTCTCCTCCTTGCTCAGGCTCTCTTCCTCCTCACTCAGGCTCTCCTCCTCGCTCAGGATCTCCCCCTCTTCACTCAGGCTCTCTTCCTCCTCACTCTGGCTCTCTTCACTCAGTTTCTCCTCCTCACTGAGATGCTCTTGCTCCATGCTTAGACTCTTCTTTTCACTCAGACTTTCCTCCTCTTCTTGCTCACTCCAGTGCCTCTCATCCTCTTTACTAAAGTGCTCTTTCTTTTGCTCACTTGGGCTCTCTTTTTCCCTCTTACTCAGCCTTTCTGTTTCCTTAGTGAGTCTCTTATCCTCTTT